GCATTTGGTACATTCACAAGGCTGTACAGTCATCTACTCTATCAATATAATCCATTGTGACCAGTGCGATGGATGGACAGTTAACTGACAGGCGATGAGCCGGATTGAAAAAATTAATTAGAAATTATAAAAATAAGAAAAAAGGCTCAGTGATTAGAGAAAAGCAGGGGCTCTGTCAGATGAACTAGCACCGATGGAGACTGGATCTAACAACTAAATGGAAGCCTCACAGTTAGGTAACTGTATGGGTTGGTACATCAAGGGGAGTCAGTGTGAAGAATTTCTTCAAGAAAAGAAGATGAATATGGCAAAAACAACTTGTTTGGGGCTTAGCATGTTACTTCACCTCCAGGCAGCTACATTTGAATGTAGGGCTGCTTGAGCCAATGGGTAGGGTGTCAGCATAATTTGAGCGGTTTCCACTCAGTGGATTCACTGAGAATTCCCAGAAAAGGTATCCTTCTGCCTTGGGATGCCTCAAACAAACTCTTAATTCATTCACTGCCCCCAACATCTATCTATCTCTAAGGGTTGGGTATATAGCTCATTTGGTAGAATGCTTGCTTTGCATGCACAAGGTCCTGGGATCAATCTCCAGCACTGCCAAAACTAAGAAATGTCTTTCTTATTCCAAAATAAATCCCCATAGTAATTCAACATTCACTCCCGAATTTTTATCCTTTAACAGCTGCAAATTACCAATCTGATTCTATCTTCATGGATTTATCTTTTCTGCATACTTCATATGAATGGAATAATATATTATATGTCCTTTTATATCTTCTTTTAGTGGAGATTAATATTTTAGAGGTTCACCCAAATTGTAGTATATATCAGTAATTCATACCCTTATATGGTTGAATGTTCCTTTATTCCTTAAACTCTCCTCTTGATTTATATGAGTAATAACATGATTTTTTTTCCTTAAAATTATTTTATTTTACCTAGATCCATCAAGTTCTCCACTGCTGTAGGTATAAAGTATATTTATTTCCTACCTCAATGTCTATGCTTAATGCCATGCTAGTAATCTAAGGTCCCATCCTCTACCACCACAATTTGAATATTCAGACTTTTCCTATGCTAACATAGATAGTTTTTATTCTATATTTTCCAATGAATAGCATATATTATTTCTTGGAAAAATGCACTGTAATAACTTCTTCTGCCAATTAAATGTTTTTGAGAGAGTATGTCTTATTTCCATGTCAACTGAAAGCTTATTATGGGGAGAAATAATGGAACTTATTTCTACATCACACTATATATAGTTTCATATACATTGCAAATGATTATAGGAAAAGTACAATTTATACACTTTTACAAATATTAAAATTACTTTCCTATTTATGAAGTAGTTGCACATATTTCACCTCAGTTTACTTGTTTCCAATAAGGTAGGCAAGTCGAGGCTAATATTTTGTTTGATTCAGACTTAAATTCTGATCTAGAGATTAATTTTTGATAGTAAATGGCAGGGCTGAGGTTGAAAACAAGTTTCCACTTATTTGGTGGGCATGTATCTCAGTCCAAAAGCTTGCTATAGGGAATGTATAATTGATTTCCTTTTTCTTTTTTTTTTTTAAACTTAATTTACTCTGAAGGCTTTTTGACTTAAATACTATAAACTCAATTAAACTGAGATCAAGGGACAAGATATACATGGTGGTAGTTGTGAATTACTATTTGTTCTTTTTTTTTTTTTTTTTTTTTTTT